CTGATACGCGTATCAAATAGTCTAATAGAATCAAATAATAATAGAATCTTAACGTGCTGTAAACGCTTGGTTCGTTTTGAATCATATATTAAAATTCGGCACTGCTTTTAAGTTCAGATTAAAATTAGAATTAGAGGTTTTATATCTGGAAAAGCAGTGAAGACATCAAGTCACCTAACCTGATCTGTTTTGAGACAAATCGGTATAAATAAGAACGTATCAAATATTTAATCAACACCAATTTGATTCACGTACTAACCGATTTAACGGTGTAAAAGCCATAATTTTATTAATTGCTTTTATAACATTGTAGAAGCATTTCTTCACTGTCGACTTATGTATCCCAAATGTATTCCCAACTACTCTGTATTCAGAACAACTAGCAAGTTTATATAGAGCTATAGCAATTTGTTTTTCTACAGATACAGGCTCCCTAGCTTTTAAAATTTGCATTTTGGGTTGTAGCTCATCTTTGATTAAATCACACAATGTCAAGAAACTCATTTTTGACATTCGGAAACTTTCGAGCCATTCCGATTCAGTATAATGATTTAACACAATTGAGTCCCAAAATTCGTAACTTCTTTTTTTCATCCATGTTCTTCTATATTGTATGCCCTTCGTTATAAAATGAGGAGATATTGGATTACTAATAAATTTCCACATAAAAATTAAATTATATTTTTGCTCCGAACATAACCTTAGTAAACGTCGGAATAAGGCTTGGCGCCTTGCTTTTATCATGTCCATCATGCGTCTTCTGCGAATACACTGTAAATTTTTAAATATAAAAAATTTGACAAAACTTTCTTGTGCAATATTGTGCATTTTCTCAAAATATTAGAATATATTATAATGTATTATTTTTCTCCTTTACATCGTGAAAATATAGTACGCGTATTAAATTTGATGCGCACTAATGCTTTAGTACGTTCGATGTAAACGCACCCGTACTAAAGCATTGGTGCGCATCAAACTTAATACGCGTACCAATACTTTCACGATGTAATCTAGGCCATAGACCTCTGCTACACGGCACGCTTAGGGGCCACTGCCACTTTGAAGCAAACAAAATAACAAATGCGATTGGTCAATTCCGATGGACTAGCCAGTTAAGTTAACTGAGCTTGGTGACAGTGGCCCTTAATCGGATTTAATAACATCCATAGTTATGAAATTGTCCAATCAGCTTTTCCTCGGAAGAATAGAACGACTGTGATTGGCCAGTTTCATAACTACGCATAATTAGATCCGGGCTTAATTGATTAATTTTTGACAATTTTAGGTTTATTATATTCATTGTACTACACCTACTACACCCGGGCTTTGTTCGTTTTCGTAATGTATAAATCTATTGAATTACCAAATAGTGACTTTTCCCAAATGAAAATAATAATGAAGACGTCTTCCCCAAATAATTTCTAATCGATTCCATTCATAAAACACATTAAATAAAATCGTTGTCTGCTAACTTGACGCATGATAAAATTTGTTAATTACAAGAAAAATACTATTTCCTAAATGTTTAAATGCTTTTCCCAAATTTCCCCAAATGATTCCCAAATTATATAGACATAAATAAATCAGAAATATTCAATTTGTCTGCTATCTTGTCATCAGTGGTAGATTTGTTCGCGTCGCAAACTCCAACGTACTCCAACATGCGCCTACTATAGCTCCTATTTATTCTGGCTGTGGTCCACTTGACGCTATAAACGCTTCGAAGCATTTGAGCGACCAATCAGAACAAAGAATTTTACGAATTGACTAATCAAAGAATGCTTCGAAGCGTTTGTAGCGTCAAGTGGACCACAGCCTCTATCAAGCGCGTTGGAGTGAGGGTGCCGTCACATTAGTCACATATAGTCCGCAATCCGTAATCCGCACCGGATGTCCGCAAAAGCATCTAGGGATTGCGGACAATTCCTACAAGGCTACGTTCAGATTCTCTATCCGGGTGCACCCAGACACCCAGAAAGCATTCAGATTTCTTTTAAGTGCCTTCATCGAGCGCCTAGGTGGAACGTTCAGATTCCTACTCTATACACCCGGGAGAGTGGAAAAACCACCCGGCTTCATGAACCGAGTGGAATGGGTGGTAATGGCGTATTAAAGACTTCCTGTGCGATCCCAGCACGTTTGACGTGCATCTATATGAAAAATTTAAATTTCAGGTTATGCTTGCTATGAGCAGTATCCCTATAAGCGCAAAATATTCCTAGAATATTATATTTAGGATCTCTTTCACCAACCTCGCTTAAATTTAACCGACGGTTACAAGGTACGAGATTTAACTTATTTTATTACTTAAAATAACTTTTAACCGAGGTTTAGCTTATTTTAAATAATAAAATAATAAAATAAGTTAAACCTCAGTTAAAAGTTATTTTAAATAATAAAATAAGTTAAATCTCGTACCATGTAACCGTCGGTTAAACTTAATCGAGATTAGTGAAAGGGACCCTTATGCGCTTAAATCAATATAAATATCTTACCAAGTACGATCTGATCTATATCAATTAACCTAGACGATAAAATACGCACAAATTCTATTATCGCCATTACTGTGATGGTGTGGTCAGTGGTGTGGTGATGAATGCGTTCAGACTCCTAAATCACTCGGGTGCTTTTCGCTAGGCTCCGCCCACTCACTCAGTCACCCAGCGAACACCCACCCGGTGAGGAATTTGAACGCAACCCAATATGTACGGCAGATATTTCTCACGTAATCCGCAACTACGCGAAAAGACAGTTCTAGTGCAGTCTAGTGCACATCAGAAAACAGATCATTTGTCGTATTTGCACTAATAACATATATCAAAGATTCATTATGCACTTCTAATTTCAAAATTGTTGTCAAACAAATTAATCACTATTTATAAATTAAAGGTAGGTTATTGCATGTTTATTTTTGTTTGACGTTGGAGTGCAATTGCGTTGCGTGCTTATATGCTCCTTGTGTCCCACAAGGAGCTGCAAAATACGGACGTGTAAATGTAATATTTTTTATTTAACAAGTTATACTGTTCATTTTTATTTTATTTTATAAGAAAATTACAGAATATATTTTGATTGTAACAAAAGTTTTAATTAAATCGTCAAATTTAGTCAAATAGATAAAATTAGGAAAAACATTACTGGCAATAATTAATAATTTTTATGGAAATTTCACGGGATTACGGCTCCATGGGACACAAGGAGGTAAAACACACGTAACGTTACGGACCCAATACCTAGTAACTTTTGCAGACATCCGGTGCGGATTACGGATTTTACAGGCTGTATATGACGCTGACGGCACCCTAATACGCCGTCTACAATGAACAGTAGCAGTAAAGACTGTAATGTCGGGAGTAAGCTGGTTTTCCAGCTAAACCATTAATGGTTAGTCGATGAACGTCAAATCGATGTTGATTCAATGTCGCTCGACGTCAAATCGATGTTAATTCAACGTCGATTGACGTTAATTCTATATTGATACTTTCACTTGTAGCTAAGGATATAACAGAGCGTAGAGTAAGTTCGTAATCCCGGATCTACAATAGGTGTTTTAAATCTTAAGTCGTAAGAAACTGACCAATTACAGTCGAATTCGAGAAGAATAATCGACTATGATTCGTCCATTTCTTATGGTTTAAGGCTTAAAACTCTATTGTAGATCCGGGGTAAGCGAAATGGTTGAAGTCTATCGATTTGATGTCGAGCGATATTGAATCAACATCGATTTGACGTTCATCTTCTTCTTCTTTAATTAGTGGCTCCTGCCTCCAAACAATGTAAAAGGAGGTCGATACGGCCAGATCTCGTTACAATAGTAATAACCGTATATTGAATTCACGTTTATGATTGTTTTCCGTGTGTTAAAAAAATGATGCAACACCTGCGAAAATAGCTAAGCCCGTTCGCCGAACACCGGGCGCCTGCGTCTACGGCGTCGTCACGCCGCAAGGACGCCCGTCAGGGATGTGTTCCAAAACTCGACTCTATCAACTCCGAGTACCTTTTATCCTTGTTCAACATTCGATGAAGAACAAGGATAAATGATACTCGGAGTTGACCGAACGGGTCGTCCAAGACCGCAGGATGATTATGTATGTTCAATGCTATGTCAAAGTCGGCAACACTTTCAAAAATATACAATAGCTATAACACCCGAGTCAAGACGCGTCCGCCACGAGCAAGTGGTTCATCAGAACTTTTGACGTTCATCGACTAACCATTAATGGCTTAAACTGGAAAACCAGCTTACTCCCGACATGTTTACAATGGG